CTCCTGTGTGCTGAGGGAATGCACCCATGGGACTCAGAAACACTTCAAAAGTCACTTATAAGCCTGCTTCTTAGGATGAAAGATGCACACGCCATGCATTGTGGCCCCTTAAATATCATATAAATTATTTTATCTGATGCCCAGTGGGAAGTAGTAGTCTGTTGCTTTATTGGAAAGCAACTAATGACTTGGAGAGGGGGTTTAATACTAACATTCTGTGGGTGACCAATGTCACTTTTAAAGGTAATTTTCACTTTGGAACCGAAACTCTGCTCAATAGCCACTAACTATGCCCTGCCATGCATGCTGAACTACGCTGTTCAGAAATAGGTTCTTAAAGAAGATTTAGGTGGATGCTTATTGCAAAATACTTAGTTCATAGTTCCACTGGACATAACTCCTGTTCCTATTTATATTCTGTTGAATGACTAAATAGTAAATCCAAGATATGAGCACAATCTTTGTAAACTTCTTCTAGAATAATTATCTACAGACTTCTTTTACTTCATATTATTATTTCTCTCTGACTTCCTCCTCCCACACTGAAAGCATAAACATTCATGTCATATGCTAACAGATTCTTTCTCTAAATGTGCATAGACAATATGTTAAAATTAATTTTAAAAGCTCGAAGTAAAATATACTCATGAGACTGACTGGAGAAAGAGAAGCGTTCTAATCTCTTCAAATTAAACTTTCATGTGTCATGACTCTTGCACAGAGAGTTTTGAACAAAGGAATCAATTTCAAGTGAACTCCATTAGTCATTCTGGCTGGCATTATAGACTAAAATAAGTTGAAATAGGCAGAAGCAAGTCCTGTGAATCATAAGCTATTTCTTTATCTGAAGATTTCTAATAACCTTCCCTTTGTGGTAGTGATCTGTGAACCCCACTGCGTGACTTTTTGAAATCATTATAAATATTTATTAGAATGAAGAACTCCACCTCTCAGAACCATATTTCAATAAACATCACACCATTAACCATAATTACACACAACGTCCTACAAACGGTGTATAAATTTTATGCTATTTTTCAGTAAACAATTGGAGAAAACACCAGAGTGGCTTGGTTCAAGAAAATGACCTTAATAGGTGTTCAGTCTGGATACTCAGTGTTTCTCAGTGCATATCTCTGAACACCTTCAGTCTGTCTCCACAGTGTTTCTTGCTCCAAGTCTGTGCTTACGCTAATAAGGATTCATTTCTATCTGTTGAGACCATAGTTGGTTTTTGCACACTTTTGACATTCATTTCCAGTCACTGAAAGTTAAACTTATGTATTAAGTATATATTCATTATTTTACTAAAGAGTTTTATCTGTTCTAAATAAACTAAGCCTGAGTCCATCTTTACTACCTGAGGCAGGTCTGATTATATGGTCTGCTGTTTTTCCTCCTCCAGTGAAGCGTTCATGCTGCTTCTGTTGATGTGCTCTTGGCCATACAGTAGGATTGGAAAGACATTATATTCTACCTTATTAACCAGAAAAGAACCTCCCCTACAGAGCGGGAACTGTACAACTGCGTTAAATATCTTTCTGGCTCTACAGCTGGGAAGAACACAATTTGTTCACCTCATAGATAGCATGTAGGGGTTGCTATAGCATTTCCAAGAGAACATACCAGAGGAAAACAGGAAAACAAGCTATTACTTAAGTTAAGACTACATAGAAGGGGGGGGGATTGACTATATTTTTTGTCTAAGCAAAATTCTCTGGCCTTTTTTCTTATATTGTTGCATAGTATTTTATATAAAACAGTATAGCAGGCTGGCTGTTAGACACAAATATCATTATCTGTTGTAAAGAAAATGATGATTGCCGGGCGGTGGTGGCGCACGCCTGTAATCCCAGCACTTGAGAGGCAGTGGCAGGCGGATCTCTGTAAGTTCGAGGCCAGCCTGGTCTACAAAGGGAGTTTCACGACAGGCTCCAAAGCTACAGAGAAACCCTGTCTTGAAAAACAAAAACAAAACAAAACAAAAAAAAAAAAAAAAGAAAGAAAATGATGATTGCTAGGGTGGTGGTGGCACATGCCTTTAATCCCAGCACTTGGAGGCAGAGGCAGGCAGATATCTGTGGCGTCTACAAGAGCTAGTTCCACGACAGGCTCTAAAGCTACAGCAGAACTCTGTCAAAAAAAAAAAAAAAAAGGAAAAAGGAAAAAGAAAGAAAGTGATAATTAAGAAAAAGAAAGAGACATAAGGATGTGGAACATTTATTTCCAACTTATTTCCATCATTATCTGCTACTACCAGGATAGCATTGACATCTGCCTTCTCTACTAAGAACGTAAAATCTCTAAGAAATACATTTCCAATATTACCCATTTCTGTAGCAGTTAGATCTTAGAAATATTTCTTCCTGGATATGGCACATGCGTTCACATGCATTCATTTTTAACTATTGCTAAGAAAAATTACAGTAAGGATGTTCAGAAAGTTGGACTTCTCTCAGTGTTTCTGGCTGCTTTTCTGCCTTGAACACAGAACCCCTCTTCTACATCTGAATTTTCACTATACTTTGGGCTGGTGTGGCTGATGGGACTTTCTTACACTGAAATGACAGGGTAGAAGAAACTGGAAGCAAAGTCATTGACAATTCTCTTGAGGAGAAAAGAGTGGACATTCCGAACCAAACACAAAGGCAAGTCACGCAGCAGTGACCCCACAGGAAGGTGCCATGTGGTCCATGATGACTTCACTTTATCATCTTGAATAATAAAGATGAAAAAGGAGTTTTGCTATAATCTTGGCATGAGAGCAAAGCTACTTTTTGCTTTATAAAATCAAACAATTTTTGGATCATATTCTTTTAAAAAAAAACAAACTCTGTTTTTCCATGATCTACATATTGTCATAAACACATTTTTTTATCAGCTCTGTGTTGAAACTACCAAAACATGTTACAGAAAACAGAACACACGGTGTGAATTTTCTAGTTCCTCTAATGTCTTCCTGGAGCAAGGTGGGTTGATGGTGTATAGTGGTAGTTACTAATCTCCCCGGTGCTAATTAAAGATCTCTCAAAGGTGAAAAGGTGTAGAACAAATCAGAGAGCATCCATTCAGTAGCATCTGCAGAGCAAATTCTCTGCAAATGAGATTCTGCGCATTTTCAGCCTCTTAAGGACCAAAGTCTGAGAAGACCATTCAGCTAGACTTCCGTAATAACTGTCAGCAGTCCTGCTTGCTACTTCTAAGAACCAGAGCCAAACTTCAATTAAAAACCTAACCTGTGGGGGTGAGAGACTTGGGTGATAAATGTTCTCTCATTTCTAGTAACGATTGGAATTTTTTTTTTTTTTATTCTCTCACTCAAAGAAAGAGAAAACGGAGCAAATCTCCAAAGCTGAGCTTTTGGGGGGTGAGATTTCTTGTAACACTACACCTAATTATCTGTGTGTACCATCAGCAGAGATTCTCAAGGTAGTGCTTATTGAAACTGACCTGGTGGGCATGCCAGGTCTTAAGGATGAATGAAAAATAACTCTGCTGAATGCTGCGGCACATGTGATAGTGTAATTAGTATTCCTGCCAACAGAATTGAAAGTGAGATGTTGCATCTCTGGGGACTTTTGCAAGTCTCTGTAAACAGTTTTTCTTAAAATATACGAGATACATATGGGCTAAGCAAAAAGGTTCACTCAGAATTAAAATGCTATTAGCCTACAGATGATGTGGGTGAAGGGCTCACTGAATCCTCACGTGCACACTGACAGGGAAAAGCCATCATTTACATATTTCCCAAGTGTATTGAGCCCCAAAGGCATTTGGGTTCTTCAAAGGAAAATAAGAGCCATTTGGGTTAGAAATAAGCCACTGGAGGAATACAATGGAAACCCATGGCTAGTATCTCCATGACTCTAAAAATAAACATTAACATAGGAAAAGAAACTGTTTGAGATAAGGTACTTTTTTCACATTTAAAAATGATGTTTTTTTTTTTTAAAGAAAATTCTGGTGTTTCAAAATTATGGAAGATTACTGCCTCGATTTGTTTAAAAGATTAAGTCATTTACTGTATTGGCAGCAAATCAAGTCAATCTAATCAGTTTTCCCTTGGATACTTTAGTAAGTTAGAATTTAAATGTTAATGAGTTCCATTCGGATTATTTACATACAGGTGCATAGGAAATAATCCAGTGGGTTGTTGCCCAGTATCTGCCAGCTAAAACTCAGAGACAAGAATTCTTATGTTTTCCCTCCTCCCAGAGTCTTTGCAAAGGGTGGGTGAGCTTCCTTCAGTCTCAGCAGGACTTCCTCAGTCTGGCTGGGTTTCAACACAAAATGAGTCCCTCCGCAGAAACAAGCACACAATGTCAGTTCATCCCTTGCTGCAGATAGGAATAGAGACATATGTTTGTGACTAAAGATTCACGTCAGGAAGTTATTAAAAAAGGCAGCTACTGGGTGGTGTGACTACCCTCCGTGATGGGACACCTCATGAAAATCCACAGAGCTGCAGACCAACAGTGTTCAAACAGTTTTCCTGGTTAGCACTAAAAAGCTGCATAGCTCTGAACAAGCTACCAGAGCTCCGAGAGCTTCAGCTTTGGTTGTGTAGAAGAAAGTAGTTGCAGCCAATTGCCCTGTCATGTATTTAAGTCTACTGTATGCTAACAATTTGCCTGTTACTATTGAAGGGAAGCCGAATATAGAATTCCCAAATATAAAATAATGCCATGAAGACTATTTTGAAGCTGAGGGAAATGAAAAAGATATATATATATATATATATATATATATATATATATATGTGTGTGTGTGTATACATACTAAATGTGTGTGTGTGACGTGTATGTGATATTGTGCTACAGATGATGTGGGTGATTCCCCCCTTCACTGTTGCCTAAAAGCAGGATAGAAATTCAGTTCATAAAGATGTCCCTCCCTCCATTGTCTGTGATGAAGGACAGAGCTTATACCTGAAGAGGCTTTGGAGCCTGATCATTCTGGAAGTGATACCTTAGGAATCTACCAACGGACTTCACCAACTAATCTTTTTTTTTTTTTTTTTTTTTTTTTTTTATGGTGAAAAAGTGTATATTTAGAATTAGCCGGCTGGGCTCAGTTTAGATGATTCCGATCTTATTGGCAACATCCAGAGCATCATAATCAGGAGCCAACCGAACATACGCCTTCTTCTCTCCGTCGGGCCTTATGAGGGTGTTGACTTTGGCCACATCAATGTCATAGAGTTTCTTCACAGCCTGTTTGATCTGATGCTTGTTGGCCTTGACTTCCACAATGAACACAAGTGTGTTGTTGTCTTCTATCTTCTTCATTGCTGACTCGGTGGTCAGGGGGAATTTGATGATGGCATAGTGGTCAAGCTTGTTCCTCCTGGGCGCGCTCTTCCGGGGGTATTTAGGCTGCCTTCGTAGCCGCAGGGTCTTGGGCCGCCGAAAGGTGGGCGATGTGCGGATCTTCTTCTTTTTGTGGCTGTGGACGCCTTTCAGCACTGCTTTCTTGGCTTTCAAGGCCTTCGCTTTAGCTTCGGCTTTGGGAGGGGCGGGAGCTTCCTTCTTCGCTTTCGGCGCCATCTTGACGAAAAGCACCAACTAATCTTTATCTACCAGGAAGCTCTTTATGTGTTTATCTTCGTACAACTTTCTGTCTCTAGAGACTCAACATCCTTTTTCTTTGTCTTATCACGTCTGTGAAAATCCTTTGTGGATTTTAAGCCAACCTTAGAGAAATGTTGCTTCTCTGCAGAGCAGGTATATGTAATAAACTTCCTTGATTGTTCTCTTGGTAATGTTTGCTAGAGAAGTCTTAGAAGGTGCTAGGATACTTACACCCCCTCAAGGTCCCCGTGCTGCCAATGTGATGCAATTATCCAAAGAGAGCCCTCAGAGGCTGTGAGGAGCAGGACTTGGCGGCTCACACTTGTAATCTCAGATGTGGGAGGCTGAGACAAAGAGGGTGGTCATGGACTTGAGTTCAGCCCAACTATGTAGTGAATTCCAGGCCAGCTTGGCTTACAGAAGGAGACACTCTTTTTGAAAACCTAAATAAATAAATAGCCCTTAGAAAAGGTTCCATGCTGTGTTAGGCTATCTATTCCTTGTGATTTTTCTCTCATGTTAGACCACAGACACTGTCTATCTTGGAGAATGCACACCAGACAACAAACCTGTTAATGCCTCTTTCTGAAAATTCCAGCTTCCTGGAATGTGAGCAAAGAATGCCAATTTCCAGGTGTTCTCATGTAGGAGTACCAACAAACTAAGAAATGTTGTTTATCTTCCCTCACATTGTGACGACTCTGAAGATCTATGGAACAGGCTTTTTCTTTCAGGCCATCAGCCAGCTCCCAAATCATAACAAGACTTCTTGTTAGGTATGAATGCTCAGCCTAACTTAGGCTCTTTTTTTTTTTTTTTTTTTTTTTTGACTCACTCTTTGAACTTAAATTGACCTCTTTCTTTTTATTGACTTTTTGTTTCAGGACTTCTTACCTTTCTTCCTTCTGTGTATCCTACTTTCACTGCTTCTCTTGTCTGGCTGCCAGGCAGCTGCCTGGATGGCCTCATGTGTGTCTATCTCTTTCTCCCTGTCTTTCTTCTTTTCCCTTCATTCTTTTCAAGCCTAGATTTCTCCTTCTATTTATTTTCTCTGCCTGCCAGCCCCACCTGTCCTTTCTCTTCCTAGCTAATGGCCAAGCCATTCAGCTCTGTATTAGACCAACGAGGCACCTTAGGGAGGAAAGGTGAAAGAAATTTAACACATCTTTAGATAATTAAACACACATCCTTACATTGTTAAACAAGCGCCGCATAAACAAACGTAACACACCCTTACAGAGCTAAAGTAATATTCTGCAGCATCGAAGAACTGTGTGATGACGGATACAAAGTTAGCATACTGTTGAAGCGCAGAATTTCAAATTCTGTGATTCAAATACAGGAGCATTCTGCTGAAGCGGTGGTGGCTTTTATGAACCTAAACTTATAGGATGTACTAGTGAAGTGCCATTTGTAAAGAAAGTTGCCATTGTTCGCAGCCACCAACGCAGAGAATTAGTGTACGAGATAAACCTGTTTTCCTAAGGTATGTAGCATGCAAGTCTTCATCCCAGCAGCACACACATTTCCTGACTTTCAATCCGACCCCCATAAATATTCTTGCTCAGTGGGTCTTTGGGTTTCCCAGTCTCTATAAATATACCATAGCTTTTGATTGTTTTATGGTGGAAGTTTATTTTATTTTATTTTGTCTGCACAGTTGGCTTTGTTTTTTCCCATGTTTTATAGACTCTTGTCTTTTTATTAGTTCAGTGTTCCCTGTTGATTTTGTGTTTTATATTCCTGCTGTCACCACCAGAACCTCACTGTAAACAAGAATGTTGTATCTCAGTGGGTTATTTTCTGTTAATGACCTGTGATACAGTAAATAAATAAACCAGAGAGCCATCCACAGGTGCAGTTTATTAGAGTTACTGCACTGTGGCTTGGGTAATGTTCCTTGGTTCTTTAAAACATTGCTGCTTTAAGAAGCAAAGGGGCCAGCTCACTGGCAGGTTTGAAGAGAGAAAAATGAGCCTGCCACACGTTGCAATGGATGGGAAGCTGGACTAATAATCACCCCTTCAATTTCTCAGTGTCAACATCTGGAATGTAGTACAAGATAAAACATCCCACTAAGCCAAATTACTCAGACAAAGTAGTCTGGTCCGAATAGCTGACTTGAGCAGGAGTAGAGAGAGCATAGAAGGTCCCTCCTCACACATAAAAAGTAAAACCCACACTAGACTGCTCAATTAGAGCAAGAGAGATTGTTCTGGGCTGCACACAGGTGCATAATGAAGACCGATAATCATAGTTTATTAATGAATTCTCATAACCCCCGGTGTGGTAGGTATTATTATTAAGACATGGTTCATGTGGGGCCATGGAGGCTAAGGAACTCACCCAAGGCCACATAGTGAATCAATCTCCACCGGGGAGCACAGGCATGAGATGAGCTCCTGCCACACCTTCTGTCCTCACCACTAGATCATGGTCTGTTTCTGTCTTGGGATGGAATTAACAGAACTGAAATTGGAGCTCAAGTGCCAAGAGATGGAAGGAATATTTGGTAATCATTTCAGGAGGGAACTGCGAGGCAATAAGGGGCTCCGAGGACACCGTAATGTGCTTCAGATAACAGATATGCATTGCTGGCTTTGAAATACATTAGGAACAGATTCTGCCACATATCAGATGTATTTAGGATTAGGCGAGGCAAGAGAAAAAACTTGGGTAAAGTATAAAATATGGAAGAGGAAACTAATGTTTTGGACGTTCGATGTTACCCTGCAGAGTAGTAAAAGCATATCTTAGCTGTGATCAGGTACATGCAGGGTGATATGGTTGTAAACCTGAAAGCAATTTATTCCCAGTACTTGTGTATGTCTGAAGGTGTGGAGAAAATAAGACTGTAGGAGTCTACATTTCTGACTGTGACTAGACTTCTAAAAGATGCCCTTTTGTCTCCACATCTTCTTGTTATGTACAACAATAAAAATAAAGTTTATTTCCAAAGCTTTATGTCTGTCCGTCTGTGGTTTCCAAAATGCACATGACTGGCAAGGGTATTGAGGATGAATTTATTCTAAGAAAAGCAGCCCATGCATAACAAATCCTCAGTAATTGTAGCTGTTTCACTAGTGCGTGCACAGGCACACCTGTCATCAAGCAATGAGCGTCACGTCGATGCATCTCAATCTTCAAATTTGTTCCAGGTACTTTATCAGACAGACATTCGGATTTTGCTCTTCTGCGTTTGTTCTGGAAATATTTCTGATGAGTGGAACTTCATGATCCATTAGTTTTACTCTTCTATCAAATACATCAAGAGCGTGCACTGCACAGCATTGCACAGATTGCTCTGGTGTTTAGCACTTTCAAGCAACTTCTTAAATTCTAATATGAACTATTGATATACAAGTATTAGAATCAACCATATAAACATCACATTAGCCAGGTCATACCTGACCCCACTTAAGTGTTCAGTTGTTTTATTTGCCATACTGTGATAATAAAACCATTGGAAACTTAACAGTTCAAGCATCATACAGTTCGTTTTGCGATCACTTGTTACTTTGGATGGATAATACATGGCAGTGGTATCTAACTGTTGAGAAGATAGGTAAAGCTCCTAGCGTGTGAAGAAAATATTAGTTCTTGCTCCTTTGGTTCTTTTCATCTCTGTAGTGTGTCTCAATAAGACAATCTTTTCAGACACCGGATAATTGGGTAATTAAAGACCCCCATCCGTAAGTACTTCCTCTCCATGGAGGACCTATGGGTTCTTAACGTCTCTGTATTAGCTGTTTGTAAACTATGTCAACATGCTAAGTGAAATAAAAGCCACTTATGGTGCTAGGTCACCCTTTCACATCAACAGACAGTTTTAAGTCATCTATCAAAAGAGTAACATTTTCCGTTTTATGCTGGCTCTGTGCATTCTTCCAAAAATGATTTATAAATCTCTTCTAGCTCAAGTCTTATTTTGCTTGTTAGATTTGCTACTGAGTTGTGGAAATACTTGTAATTTTGGAAATAAATTCCTTACTTTTTAATAAAAAAATACAGCAATACTTATTTAACAGCAGGCAGAACAAACAAACAAACAAACAAAACTGGTAAAATGGGTCAGTGTTTAAATGTGCTTGCTGCCCATCCTTACCTTCTGCATTGAATCCCTGGGACCCACCATATAGAAGGAATGAAAGGACTCCTAAGAATTGTCCTCTGACCTCCAGAGGTGCGCGCGCGCGCACACACACACACACACGCACCCACCCCCCCCCCAAGAGTGTACACAGACAAAATATATTTTAAAAAAATCACAAGTACATTGACTATAACATATTGGTATCAACATTTAACATTTTAAGTGATTATTAACCACAGTGCACTTCTGGTACTTGGTACTTTTGAGAAACAAATGGGCCAGCCTTTTGTTCTTGAGCACACCACCCAATTCATCATCTGTTTAGTTTGCTTACATTTTTGCTATTTCATACCTGACTTCCACATTTTTTTTGCTAATTCAATTTCTAAGTTACTAACGGCCAGAGAAATGAAAAATGTTACCTCTGCCTGCTTTGAGAGATGATTTCAGAGTAATTTGCGGTGGCAAATATTTGTCTGTACTTAAATGTGAGGCTGAAAGCATATGAGCACACACACATTTTCATGGCGACTTGTGTGGCATAGTAGTTCATCAAAGAATCAGATGTTAACCGAGAAGAACAATACCAAAGGCCTGCAGAGGTTCAGGCGGTAAGATCACTTACCCAGGGAATTCAATGACTCCTCCCAGCCTCTTCACTAATCAGAGACTTCTGGAATTTCAGACTCTAGGCAGACAGGGCAGGTGCCAAGTGTTCAGAGGAGGTGGTCCGAAATTCCCTGAAACAGAACATACACCAGATGTAAATGACCATTTAATACCCATGATCAGATTTTAGTTTTGTAAGTTTTCTCATTGGACAAGCCTTTGCTTTTTGTATAGTTTATCATTGCTTTATCCACAGAACAATTTTTTTTAATAGAAAGTTT